TGCAACAATGAGTCTAATAATATGGGGAAATAAACTATTAATACAGTCACCTTCAGTAATTTATGCCTACACATGGATCTACTATTTTCCTATGAGATTTTTTTTTTTTGAGATTCTGTCTTTTGGGATCTTATGATGTAATCCATCAGATTGTAATTGTTATAAATATATGTGGTGTTTGGAGCCAGAATTAGATCCCAGAACTTTATAACTTATAGTTCACTCCCCCTCTTCCTTCCACATATGTAATGGTTAGTTTTAATTGCCAACTTGACGTGATCTAGAATCACCTGGGAAGAGACTCTCCATGGGGAGTGTCTAAGTCAGGTCAGTCTGTGGATATATCTGTGGAGGTTGTCTTGATTACGTTAATTGATAAGGAAAGACCCTGCCCATTGTGGGTGGCATCATTCCCTGGGTTTGGATCCCCCATTGCAGAAGAGTGGGAAGCGTGAGCTGAGTCCTAAGTATACATGCATCCTTTTCTCTCTGCCTTGACTATGGATACAATGTGACGTGCTGCTTTAAGTTCCTGCTGTTTTTGCTTCTCTGTTGTGATGTGCTGTAATGTGTCTCTATACGGAAGCAAAACGGAAGCTGCACTGGCAGGATTGCTATGGGAAGGGCAAGGTGGCAGAAGAGAGTGGGAGAGCCAAAGTTACCCTGGATAGTGGAGGTCTCCAATGTGATCTAGCCGCCACATGACATAGAAAAATGAACACGGAGGAAAAGACTGTGTGTTTAGTCAGGAGTTTTATTGTCTCATAAGGACCAGCATTGCAGGCTACAGGACACTGTCAGCACCCTGGACAGAACTTGCCCAGGCTGTCTCAGCTTCCTTCCAGGCTGCTCTGCACCCACCCTGCACTGAACTTCAGGCTCCATGCATTTTATATCCCACCACCCCGGGGCCCCATCTTCTGCTCTGCCAGAACAGGCTGTTCTTTCTTCTCCTTTTGATGAGGCATTCACGAACCCCTTCTATAGTGGCTTCTTCTCACCCCTGGCTTTTTATGTTGATGCATCCATTGCTTTCTGAGTTTTAGGTCCCTAGTGTGACCACTCATGTCATTCACAGCTATGACACTCACCTTGGAGCCCTGCTTGCTAGAACTTGTTGACTGGCACATGTGTAACCAAAGGGATCAAGTTGAGACGCCTCCCACATTTTCACAAAACATTTCTCGTTTCTTGCTTGAAATCCCTGACCCTTAGCATTGTCATTGGGCTTTTGGTGTTTTTAGGTTTTTTTTTCCTGGCTTATTTTGTGATGGTTGTCTCATGACTTGCCTAAATTTTTATTTTGATGCTATAGTTTGCACTGGGATTTCTTTCCTTTTATGATATCTTACTCTCTTATCAACCTTCCACTCAAAGATCATTAAAAAACAATTCTTCCTGAGCTTCTTTGATATTTAAAAAAAATCACAACAGCTTCTCTTTGTGATTAACCAAGAATTGATAATTTGCATTTGAAGCATGGGCTAGAGTCTGTTTTCCTCTAAATGGCTATCCATCACTCAGTGTATGTGTGTGTGTGTGTGTGTGTGTGTGCACTTAGCTTATTGTTGAATGTATTTCACTTTCTGTTGCCCTTTCTCCTACTTAAATACAATCTGAAGAGGGCAGAAATCATCCAACTGTTCCCATTATATTTTTATTGTTTCACTTGGAACATTTGCATAAAGTCCAGTTCTAAAGTTCTACACGGGCAAGACTAAGATCCAGCTGTGAGAGGTGTCTGCTCTACTATTGAGGATGCTAGCCTGGATAGAGGAGATGGTGTCGTCATAAACCTGAAGGTTACTGTTTTGGCCTGGCTGTCTCTGGTAGCTTTCAGAGGACTGCTGAGCTTGCCAAATGTTCCATTTTCGTATTACTGGAGCACTGAGGTCAGGATTTAGCTTCTCAAAATTGGGTTGTACCGAGTGGAATGCTAAGAAGCAATCTCTATTATTAAAAAAAAAACAGAAAAATTGGTACCTGGGTTCCAAAAGGGGATTAAATGGAATTACACAGAATTAAAATATTGCTAAATGAACAAATTGAGACAGTACTGCTCACAAAAAAAAAAAAAAAAAAAAAGAAAAAAGAAAGCCAGGAAGGAAATTGAGAAGATCTACGTTTAAAATTAGACCTTGGAGTTAAAGTAACTAATTTCAGACATCTAAATATTGCTGTTTTTAATGGTGTGTCATTTCTCTTTCAAACAGAAATAGATACCATCTCAAGTTGAAGTGAGGATTTATGCACACATGCAATCACGTGAGAATTAGAAACAGATTCTGTGGCCATTCTAAGACAGCATTTTTTTTTTCTGAAAAGCATATTGATTGGAAGACCTCAGGGGATTCTGAAAGCTCACAGGGGTATCCTTAGGGATCACCTGGACTGTGTGAGCTCAAAAAGGAGTTCTGGCTTGTCTTGTGTCTGAAGATTTTAAGGATAAAATGTTGGGTGTATGACTGTGCTCTGGGAATCCGATGGGCCTCTCTGATAGAATGTTCGGTCTGCAATCTGTCACACTGGAGGAATGGCTCAGTGGGTACGAGCACATACAGCTCTTGTAGAGGACACAGTTTAGTTCCCAGAACTCATGTTGGGCAGCTCACAGCCACCCATAACTAGAGCTCTTAGGGATCTGATTGCTTCCTTTTGGCTTTGCACGCCCCCACCACACATGTACACATAACTAAAAATAAAACACACATGAAAATATTTAACAGGTAAAACACATACTGAGACTTACATACTTACGTAAAAAGACAGCAGAGAGCTGAGGAAATGACTCAGCAGATAACATGTTTGCTGTGCAAACATGAGTTCAAATCCTCAACACTCCTTAAACAAAAGTCTGCCTTGGTTACACATGCCTCTACCCCTTTGCCGTGTGTGTGTGTGTGTGTGTGTGTGTGTGTGTGTGTTGGGGTATACTGTGGAGACAGGAGGATTGCTAGGTCTTGCTGGCTGCCAGATTCAGTTCTGGATTCAGTGAGAGACTCTGAAGCAAAGGGATAAGGTGGAGCCTGATGGAGATGCACTCAAGCAGGCATTTCACATTCATATACATGTGGGCGCGCGCGCGCGCACACACACACACACACACACACATTAACTCCTTACAAAAGACAACACTCCTCCGTGTTCTGAAAGCAAAGAAGGAGTTTGCTTTGAGCAGATTTGGATGGCGTGTATTTCATTGTTTGGGCAGAGGCTCGGTTAGATGGCTATCATACAATAAATAGGAACCACATTGTCATCCCAAACATCTGCTCCAGGTTCGGTTTTCCAGGTCAGGATGACTCATACTGTGCAGGCTTCCTGGCGCCTGAACTGTCAAAAAACTATTTTTCTTCCCCGTCTCCACAATGCATTGAATGGTAAACGTGAGGCTCGCCTGCATGGTCCCTGCCCTAATTTGAAAAGGACGTCTCCTGAAGCAGTCACACTGAGGCCATGGTTATTTTTCAACTAGATGGTAGACATTAATTGTGAGGGGTATTCTGTTTGGGGAACTGGCTGTCTGTCTCTAAGGAGCCATTTTCCTCTTGTTCATTCAGCCCATCTCTTGTGCCCGCTTGTTTATTTTTCTTTGTTCTGGCAGTATTTTCTCCCTCTTTATGTGGGAGTTTAGAAGTGTTCTTGGCTCCTTTAGACGTTTCCCACTTGAAGCCGCCTTCAGCCCCTTTCCCAGTCATTTCTCACTTACGGAGAGTCACAGCGTTGAGCTGTGGATGCTTTCAAGGCCATCGGAGTTGCCACCGTAGCCTGACACACATGATTTGGACCTCCGCAGTCTCCTTTTCTGGACTTTTCTTTATCCCTGCCCTGCTGGAGCCTATGAGTGTCCCTCATACGAGGGCACTCTCATCCCTTGATCAGGATGGTGCCTGGCATATCAAACTTCTCAACCAATACAGTTCTACACACCGGCCCTGCACGTAGGCTCACCCTTGTACCACAGAGTTCCTTTACTCTTCACACCTCTGGGTTTTTGTAATTCAGCAGTTCCTCAGCTCTGAAGCCCACCAGAAATTAAAATTATTGTTGGAAATATACTGAACCTAGAGAATATGCTAGAACATGCTAGCTTAGCAGCAGAGGACTTTAGTGTTGGCAGTTTCTGCTGGTGATCATGGTGCAGACTTCGAGGGGAGGGCTGCTGCTGCTG